TATTAATTTTAATGAATGTCTACAGAGACTTTGGATTTCCATTCATTCATTGTTGCACTTTTCTCCCTGCCCACCCCTCACCCACCCAGTTCACTCTTCTCTTTTAAAAGTAAAAGAAAAATTCTTTCATTGCTATACAGCTCCTCCCCCCAAGTCCACTCCACTATGCAGCCTTTGTTTGGAAAAGTAAAATAAATTCTTTCATTGTTATACAATCCTCCCCCCAATTCCACTCAACTATGCAGCACTCATTCTGGACTCCCGTCATGACAACAATACCAAATCATATATTCCTTTTAAACAGTTCTCTCCCTCATCTGTTTCAATGCAGTATACATAATTTATCTTATCTTTATCAGTCTCCCCCCCAACCCCGAGGTCAGACCTGTTTTACAACAGTGACACTAAGCAGTATTTATCCTTTTGTAACTGAGATATTTAACTCAACATAATACCTTCTTGATTCACTGCTTTTGAGTCGATTCTGACTCATAGCAACCCTGTCGGACCCAGCTGAGCTGCCCCATAGCGCATCCAAGGCAGCAGATGTTTGCAGAGCAGACAATCTCATCAGTCTCCCGAGCAACAGCTGCTGGATTTGGGCTACATACTTTTCCCTTAGCAATGCTAACACTTAGCCACCCGCATTTTTGGAGCCTTCTTGAAACACCCTATAATTAGTGCTCTTTAGTGAGTTCCTGTTACTAATTGTTTTCTGTCTTGCTCTCTCTACCCACCGGGACACCAAGCTTGCTAAAGGCAGGGGCTTCTCTTGCCTCTACTCACAGGATCTAGCAGAAAGGAAGGGAGCAAGCCCTGAGACAGAAGCCATTTGACTGATTTCAAAGGTCTTGATCAAACTCTGACCTCTTTTACTCGGTGCTTATCACCCTCCTGATGTGCCCCTTCAAAATGCTTGGAACAATCAAGACAGGGCTGAATACAGGAACCTTCACACGGAGTATGTAGGAGCAGAGCTGGGTTTGTGCCTGCAGGCAAGCGGCTGGCCACCTAAGGGGAGAGCTGTGCCCTTGTACACACACTCCCATTGTGCATGGCAAAGCTGGATAATGAAACTGACCCGCACACATCTCCTCCTTTGCACAACCTGGACCATCAACTTAAATTCCTTAAAATGCAACAGGTTGAGCTAAAAACAGCGTTGCCAAGCCTTTACCTTCTTCCTCTTGGTCTAGTTCCGAGTTGTCTTTTAAGGCATCATCCACCCAGGGAGGGACCTCAGCCCTGGCTGGAGGCTCACCACTCCTTTTCTCCAAGCTTCTGCCACCATTTTTAAAGATCCACACAATCAAAATGCAGACGATGGCTACCAAGACAGGAGTCAGGGAAAACATGATCAGACGGCTGATTCATGCACTCCCACCAGCATTTAAACAAACAGGCAGTGCCAGGAATGCTGGGAGGCAGCCCGCCCAGGGCAGAGAAGCGTGCTGAGAGGCAGAGCAAAGTGCAGAACTTTCAGCTTTTGCCAGGACTCAGCCCCAGAGCAAAGATCGCAGGCACATGTGTGAGGTGTGTTGTGGGCTGATAAAGCCCAAGCATATTTATTTTTTCTCTCGTTCAATCAGTACATTATTAGACAATCATTACCAGGACCCCAGTCACATTTTCAGGCACCAGATCTTGCCAGCAGTGAGAGATGACATCTAACCTCACAAGAATCACTTTTCTTACTGAGCACAGCGTCTTTGACCTTGCAGTGGGCTGGGAGTCACCTGCCAGCAGTGTTTTTGAAAGAACGGCTTCCGTGGCATCAACTCAAACCTGCTAAAAGAGGAGAGAGTGCTGGAATTCAGCATTCTGAGAAACAGCCTGAGGTTGAATCACTGCCCTAAGGTTGAATGTTGTTGTTGTTATGTGCTGTCGAGTCGCTTGCGACCCATAGCGACCCTATGTACAACAGCCCTAAACTCCGCTCTGTCCTGTGCCAATCGCACTGCCTCTGACACTCCCATTCCAATTATTCCAGTTACTGAATCAATCCACCTCATAGAGGGCCTTCCCCTCCTGCGCTGTGCCTCCACCCTCCCAAGTGTGATGTCCTTCTCCAAGGACCGGTCTCTCCTCACAACATGTCCAAAGTATGTTAGACGGAGCCTCAGAA